TCCAGCTCAAGAAGAGCATCTACTGCAGGCATAGCCTCGAGGCGGACGTCACCATCTTTCTTCCCCGTCATACCGTTGACGAGGGTGTATAACTGTGCGCCATCGTCTACGGTAGACACACCCTCTGTCAGGGTCGACGCCCGGCGTCTTGCAGTCAGCAAACGGCGTCGCCGTCGCCTCTGGAGAGGTTTTATGTCTCGGTTAGACCAGGTAAACGCGCACTCCGCGTCGTCCAGTTTCGGCCCCACTTCCTGCTCCCCCGGAGCCCTAATGTTATTAACAACATCCGACGAAAACCTGTGGCTTCGTTTAGTGGATAACGTGCCACTCCATGCGCATCTGAAGGGTCTTGCTCAAGATGCCTCGGATGGCGATGGACTTTCTCCTCCAACGCTCGAAGAGAATCGCGAGTCACCGGACGGCGATCGACCAGTCGTCATCGTCCGCCGCCGACTCTTCTCTATGAGATTGGTGGCGTCCACTACCACGTTGAACGCCTTAAGGGTCGCCGTCGTCGACGGGGTTTAACCCGATATCTTGTGAAGTGGCGGGAATACCCAAACTCCGAGAACTCGTGAAAGTTAGAGGTGCCACTTCGGCAAGACTACCCAGATGTCGTAGATGCTTATGATCGGAAAAATCATGACGCTTCGCGTCGTCTTGCGCACAGCGCTTCCCAGTAGTAGCCCGAAAAGTCAGAGGGCCATGAGCTGCTGTGGTCGTAGACTCACCCGTGTGAGAAACCACAGAGCTCACAGGAGCGTTCTGGATTGTTCCATTCGTCGCAGGGCGACAATACGCAGGAAAATGGCGTTGCGCCATGAGTTTGGCAAACTCAAATCTAAGATGGCGCTCAACGCGCACGTCTTCCTTGTGGCTTCGCAATAATGTAGACAGCGAAGACATTTCCGGTGCCGCTGCACCCATCGCTCAAAGAGCTCATCGTCAGTATCGGCGGTTTCTCCTGGGGCGAGCAACTCAGGGATGATCCGCTTTGCGGGAACAGGAGCACCTTCTTTTTGAGCTCGAAGTTGAGCGTGATACCGATCCATTGGGATCTCTTGGGGTACCAAAAAGCGAGCTCGCAGAGCTTTCCGCTGATCAAGCTCAACTTGTGTAGTGGCCGGAGGCCCGATTACGTAGACGCCTAACGATCGAGTGATCGCGTCTTTTGTTTCAGTAGCGGGACCAGCCCAGCAAAAGCCGTATTCCACACGAGGGTCTATGACCGATCCTGAATACGAGCGCAAGATAGCCGCCCTGTGAGTTGCTGGTCCTGTGCCTCGTCGAGGTGATTGGAAATAAAACCACTCCCACGGAAGTTGAAATAGTGTTCGCAGAGTTTGAGCTGGGCTTACGTCGCGCCGTTGGCGCACTTCGTATTCCTCGTCACTCATGCTGAGAAAGGAGTGTTCGACTTGTAGTCGACTTTCTCCAACTTCTCGACGAGGAAATCCGTCGTTCGGGGCGGGCGCGGTGTGTTGCGCCCAGTTGCCGAGGGCTTGGGATGTGCTTTTCGAGAAGCCCCGGACGTACTGTTCGGAGATGCACTCAGTGCAGAAGAAGAAAGGATTTGCCCGCAGGCGCCCTCGCTACCAGCTACACTGGGTACTTTGCGTGTCGTCGACACAGTGCTCATAGAGCGGAGAAGGTTTAAAGATGTTCTTATAAACATGAGGATGTTTCAGATACGCGAGCTTCGTATGAGGCGACCGTTAAATGTGAATTGCGAATATTCACAATTTTAATGGGGAAGAGCGTAACGAGGTTACACGTGCCCTTGTAAGAAAGGACGGGTCGAACAGGATTGTGTGACCGTACTTAGGTGTGTATTACACAGTTAGTGTAATAACACAGTGGTGTGGCTACACTGTAACAAGAGGCCACCACGTGGCAGGATTGCCAGTAATAATACACATTACTACATTATTAATTAGGTATTACTATATTAATCAGAAAAACGTAGACTCTTAAATATTGACGGCTCTGCCGCAATTAAATACACTTTCGTTTTTGAACAGAAGTGTTCGTTTGCCTTGGTAAGGCTTTAGAATTTAGAAGAAGCGGATTGTAATACGCTACACTTGTACTGGACCTCTAAAAGAACGTTAGGTCGGTGACCTAAGCTTAGTTTTCTCTAAGCAAAGAACTACGGCAGCTCCGCTACAGTGACTATATGGCATTGTTCCTTCGTCCCTGCGTTTACAGTCGTTACGTAGTGCAATATATTTGGCTAGTCACTGCACCGTTTCACATGCAGTATAAAAAGACGATTGACGTTACAAGAGAAATCAAAACCTGGTGAACCCCAAAAACCAGTTCATGATGATGCGTAGTGATTAAGATAATCACGGTGGAAATCGAACCCACGCCCAATCAACAAGAGTCCCCCCACTATACGACTGCGCCAATCTGCGGCAGCGTTAGATTCCCGACTCGATCGTCTGCTTTGTCTCGTAAGTCGATCGTGCGGTGCTTGACACACCAATCAAAGCTGCTGACCTTTCAAACGTGATTCGGTACATGAAAGTGACATCCTTGCCCGACATAGATGGATTGACCGCCGGTTCTACCTGGCCGCTCCGCATGAGCTCGATGAGTGCTCAAGTATCGTATTCGACAATTAGCTTTGCCGGGGGGATCTGCTTCCATCTCATCGCATGTCTGTTGTGGTGCTTCTGCATAAGAAGGGATCGAGGACCGAACTAGGCAGCTACCGACCCATCGCACTCATGCAGGTCGAAGTGAATGTGTTGTTGGAGGAAGTGACATATCATTTGCGGTACGTCATCACCAAATTGATCCACGCAGACCGGAAGGGATAAATCAAAGGATGGTGATCCACCACCGCGTATGTACGGTTCCTCGCTAATTAGCAGGACCACGTGACAGCTCGAGACGACGAGGCGTACGCGATGTTTTGGTCTTTTAGAGAATGTTCGATCGAGTCAACTGGCACTAGTGCTCAAGAGAATACATCAATTAATCGATGGATTAAGCTGTTGTACACGAGCCCAAAGGCGCATCTACTAATCAACCAGAATTCCCAGCCCGCACTGCATCCGGCAGTGCATACGTGTTGTGTGTTGAGCGTGGCGAAGAACACAAAGCTCTGGTTTTGCTCCATGAAGGCAGAGTGAGGGTAAGTCAGGTCAGTGGACTGCCGAAGCAAGCACGCGACAAAAAGGTGATGAGAATACATAGCAAGAAATGAGCATGGTGTGAGCTTGGTGTTTGCGTATGGACTATCATTTAGTGTCTCAAAGATGCAGTAGATTAAGTGCTCTGCATATTAAATCACAGATGATTCAGTTCGCATGTCGCTCTTGCAAATACTCAGGAGAGCATACCACCCTGAGACAACTTGTTTAAACCTACGAAAGACGCCATTATTGAAACACCTGGGAATGATCGAAATAGACGTAATCCATTCGACGGTGGTAATTGAGCTTGGACGCAGCTATCGGAGAATAGTGTAGCAAATATGGCTAAGTAGTGGCAAAGTGACTACTCAACACCAGGAACAAGCTTTTGAATTTATTGCGAGAATGACGATGTATTGGCTGCTATTCAACACTGGAATTGTTTCCCAGATGTTGAGTTTAGAGCAAGCACTTCTTAAGGTAATTGCTCATTGGGCAACCGGATGGAACTCCCGCTTCGGAACATGTAACGTTTTACCAAGTCGTTTTGTTATTATATCTATCGCTAAAGCCGAACTCCAACGCTCGTCCATGCTGTTGTGCAGTTGAAGTATTCGTTATGTGCTGTTGTACAAATATGTTACATGAGACGCTATCGAGATGGTATTTAGCTTGCGTTCGCCGAAAGCGAATGCCAACCGAGGCCAAATGCTTAATACCGGATATTTGGCCATTCCCATTCGCTATTTTATCGCTGATATCATTGTTTCTCACCACAAAAAAATGCTGCTGCAAGACAAATGAAAATAAGTTAAGCGATTTCAATTTTAGATTATGGGGCCATCCAAGCACATGGCCTTCACATGCTTTGTTCTCAACTCTCAGAATATTTTGGCAATCAACGGTGGTGAATGCTATATAGCCAAGGTCTGATAATCCGTTTTTGCACCAGTCCCTCCGACCGAATTACTTGGATTCTTCCAAAAAAAATGATTGCTGCGGTAAGGCCGGCACCACCTTCGCTTAGGTCGAATGCGGAAGCATCAGCATGAGCCAATGCGCAAGGGCTCAAAGGTAACTTCGGCGTTGATATGCTGTGTGGCCTCGTCAATATCTTAGAGCCCTAAAATAATATTATCTGTGTGGTGACTATTTACTAGCCAGTGAATTTTTTTTCTTGTCAATTCGCCACAATTGACAGATGACATAATTGAAAAACCGAGAGTTATCGAAAAAGACGTATTCAATACATTCGACCGTGGTTATCGAGCTTGGACACAGCAATCGGGGGATGGTGTAGCAAGCATGACCAATGAGTGTCAATGTTGTTTAATGTGATTGTTCAATACCAATAACAAGCTTTCAAATGTATTACGATGATGAAGATATAGTGGCTGCTATTCGACACTAGGACTGTTTCCCGAATGCTGAGTATGACGCAAGCACTTTTTTGAAGTAATTGGTCATCGGACAATTGAATGGAACTGACGCTTCGGAAACCCGGAGAGACCGATCGGTAAACAGAACGTGGCCAGTGGGACGAGAAAATTACGACGAGATCACTGACAAAAACCACGAGATGTCTGTACGGAGATTGTGGATTGCGCTCGGAAAACGACCCAACAAACTACAGGGAAGCAGGAAGGTGAAGAATATGTGAGTTAAGGTGATGCGGGAAGAATATATGGACTTAGGTGGGGTGATACCATCTAAAGGCATTGACGCGCCTCATACAAATTTACGATCGAAGTTGACGCAAACACCGAGATTGGGCGATTTAGATAAAACTGATGCCGTACGGAAACAAATAACTTTACGGCGTGAATTTGATCTGTCTTTTACTGATGTTTTGAAATTGAGGAAATGTAAATTTGTTGTCTTCAGGGCAATAGGGGGGTTATGAGCAGGTTATCGATTTTCAAATGCTTACATAGGATAAGGATCAACATAAAAAAGTACTCACATATTTTGAAAAGCATGGATACTCATGACACGGGACTATTTGACCGGATGTCGCGAGTAAAATTGGCCAGAAAAGACGTGGCTGAATGGAATAGGCTAGCAGATAGATCATAGAGCGAGCTCCTGTATTCTATGCAGGTCAATTTGGGCTGGCGCTGTTAATTATGGATGGGTGTTGTACTTTGAGCACCAAGGAGAAAACACGACTATCACACGCGTTCAAGTGGATAACGTACTTGGTGATGCGCCAGTGATTGCCTAAGTGATCGACTTTCTGACGTATATAAATTAAAGGTTGATTGATGGCTTGGCAGAAGTAGGAAGTTTCAAACCATATGTAACCAGCTAAAACCAGACGTAGAGAAACGCATTGGATCAAAAAGGGAGAATATATGAACTAATCGGACAATTTGGACTAGTAATTCGAGTACGATGAGATTGCCAGTTGTAAACAAAAGCGATAATCAAAGCGAGAACATAATCGCCACTAAGAGGTCTCCCGCCGATTACGTAAAAAGCTTTTCTTCTTCTATGGTCACTTTACTCCATATTGGCTGAATCACGTGAACAGAGATTTCTGTCGCGAAGCACTGGGCGGCTCGCAGACAGTGATGAGCGACATATAATTAGTGAAGTGGAATTTGAGGTATCTGAAGGGGATAAAGACATGCGTAAATCTGTGCAAGCGATCAAGGTAATTAAGAAAGGTGTGGAGTGCGGTAGACATGGGGCGACCACAAAGTGTTGCGGAATGGACTATCTCGATCGATAATGGAACGGGGATACACGTACCCTGGTAACAGGGGTGTGTGTCACACGAGATGTGCACGGTGTGACTGCACCCAACCAAGAATACGGTATGTGGCTAGGTAGCCAGTGGTTATGCATGTATTTAGATTTACTATATATAGTATATTTAGGAAAATCTAAACCGATAAAAACTAAATAAAAATCAGTTTTGGAGTTAAAACCGAAGGGCCAATTAGCCTTAAGAAGGCAATAATTACTCTTGGAGTAAGCCAATTGCGATCCGCTAACTCATACCTGGTTCTTGTAACGAACGAAGGGTCGGTGACCTAAAGTACGCTTCCTCAAGCGCTAAGCTACGGCAGCCCCGCTGTAGATAATGTCATTCAGCGGTGGCTGAGCAAGAAGCAGACCGGAGTGTCACTGTCTACTTTAATCGATGATTAATATCCAGTCTCAAATGTCGGACATGAACTGGCTATTACCTCGTGAACTAAATTCAAAACTCTATTTTTGTGTCATAAGCGATAAAGATACTGCTAGACCATCAGGCTATTATCAGACAGTCGATGTGAGGATAAAGTATCGCGAGCGCAAACTCACGCGAACATAAGGGTGAAATACATGCGTGACTGCGCCAGGAGAGAGGGCATACAGTCAGGGTCCTTGCATTAAGAAAACAGGATGACAGACCTGTCTAGCAAGGTGATGTCGGCGCCAAGGCTGGACGCCCGACATAATATGATCGAGATACGAGCGCGAAAATGAATATTGTAGAGCGGCGATCAATGGTACGGCAATGAGGGGGCTTGAACATGAATAACAAGCTCTACTCAACTGCACGGACGTGGGATATCAGCCACAAATCCAAGTCGAGTGAAAATGACAAATGTGAATTGATGCAAGCATGTGGATTAATCAAGATGTAAGAATCAATGAAGAAACGGGATTGCTTAACAGGCTGAATATCGCACAAGTTTTCGGATTGTGTACGAGTACATCAGCGATGAACCATCGCATGAATGTTGTGGGTTATTTAGCCATTCCATAAAATATCTTTGAAATTTTTTTTGATAAGATTTATCAAAAAGCTTTTTGTCATAATTGTATAGCATGATCCAAGACTTTGTAATTAAAGAAAAAAAACATGTTATTTAAATAGTTTTCCTGACATAAAAATCATATAAGATTTTTACAAGATTGAACACATTGAATAAACGAACAAGACTTATATAAAATAATAAAGAAACAATACCAGAACTTCCATCGTATGTACCTTGCTTTCTGTCTGCCTTAGTTACCTTCTCCACCATTTCTAGCCTTCTGGCAATATTTCAAAACAGACGAGGCACACGTTTACAAAACGGTCCGTTGGCTAGCTCGCTACTCGAATTGTCCAACGTGATTTGGATGTCAGAAATCCAAAACTACTGCTTTCTCGTCCATTTAAGCTTCAGTACGCTACAATGAAACTTTCAAGCAGCTATCTAATTGCCAGCGGTACTGCCACGACGGAAACTGAATGACTTCATCGACAATCGCGATGATGAGCGAGGAGACGACGAGTGTGTGCTAGCAGTCGAGATACTTTCGCGCGCATTCTTCACTCGGCGTTTGTACACACACGTGTCTTGGTCGACCCGAATTCCCCACTGGAGATACTCGGCGTTGGTTGCAGCTTCCAAAAACTGATTCAATTTTGCCACACGGTCTTGTATTATCTTCTCCGAAAAGTTTCCAAACAATTGCTTGTTCGGCAGCTCTGGAATTTCCTTGCGCTTGTATCCGTTCTTTGTCTGTAGTGTCGCGGCCAAATTTCGGAATGTACTGTACCGATGCCATACGAATAGCGTGCCTCGCGTATTGGTTTCAATTTGCAGCTTATACTCAACAAATTGCCGGCCTTCACGGTACGTGATTCGGCTGTCGACCACCTTGGCAGATATAAGCGAGACCTCTTGCGACCGTACCAGCTTCGTTTGGAGCTGAAGCACCTGCTGCTTTAAGCGTTCGTTCTCACGTAACAGCTCAGCATCGGCGTATTCTGCCACATTCGATGACAAGGTCGAGCGCAAGCGGTCATTCTGCGACACAAGTTCTCGATTCAATTCCAAAGCGGCCTCAGCAGCTTGTTTGGCGTCGCGAGCCGCAGACTCAGCCTCAGCAACCTTTGACGCAGCTTCCGTGAGCGCGCGGAGAGTGCGCGGTGACACAGGACCGGACAAAAATTCCCCATCTTTATCACTCTCTTCGTCACTCCAATCGTCTTCCACAGGCTCCTGTCGCATAGAAATCTCCTTAGTTTCTCAGCTCTAAATTCTAACAGCAAATTGTAAAAACACGTACCGGTTGAGGATCGCTATGATTTTGCTCTTCCTGCATCGCCTTATGACGGAGTCTCTCGGCTTCTGCTTCCATAGCAATCTTCCGAAGACGCGTTTGTTCGATCGCACGTTCTTTTCGTACGCGTTCCAGTAAAAGTGCATACAAAACGCGTTGTTTCCGGCCACGCTCTCGAGCCTGAAGGGTGATGATACCTGCTCGTAGTGTCCGAAAGCGCTTTAACTGTAGTCCACCGCGAGTTACAGATTGCATCTTAACAACTGCAGCACGTTGACGGAAAAAGCGCATGCGATAGACGTAGCCATGCAATGTCTTTTGTATCAGAATCGCATGATCTTTTAAAATCACATTTCGACGGTCTTCCAATCGTTGTAACAGGCCAGAACTAAAGTAAACTTTTGTCTTGCCCACTGCAAACTTGCTATTTTGCATTGTGGACGCCATGTCTGGAATCAATTCTTTCAGTAGACCAGCAACCATCGTGGGCGGTTCAGCCTCACGCAAGGCTGAGGGACAGATAATTTGAAACCGCTGCTGAAACTCAACAAGCGGCAAGCGGTTAGGAAATGCCGCGCGACTAATGCGAATGGCAGCAATCACTCCAGCACATCGCAATTGTTCTACAATCATGACGCGATTAAACTGAGTCGCACTCTTGTTTGCGTTTGGCTTGATGCATCGCACATACTGCGATGACGTCTTGTTAATCGTCACCATGAGCTCCGAAAGTTGTTTACGAAAGGCTCCTGCAATCGTGTTGCCAACGAGAAAGCCCTTTTGGCGACCTTCCTTGCCATTTTTGCCACGACTATTGCGCTTGTTTTGTTGTGTAGGTGTAAAGATGCCAGCAATGACTTTATTCCGACTACTAGACAATAATTGTACCATGTCAGTCGGCAGTGTGTCCTTGTTCTTTTCGAGAAATCCCAATCCATTGTACGTTACATCTCCTGCATAATGATGAATCGTGAACTGCAACGGGTTGATCCGATTTTTCTCAATGCTTGGATGGTTGCTACAAGCATCCAAAACTTTACTGACAAACGTACTATCATTTGCCTGGGGACGCAACACTTCTTCATTCAGCATACTGACAATTCCCATCCGACCTTCAATTAAGTCGAGAATCGGCTGATTGTCTTCAAACGTCACAAGTGTCAATGGAATACCTTCATCGACGTATTCTTGCTGTACGTCCTTAAACACATCACTATTAAACTTCTGCTGCAGTTTTTCGTTGGCATAATTAATACACAACTGCTCAAAACCATTTTGATCAAAGCTTTCAAAGCCAAAGATATCTAGCAGACCAATGTGAGTCTTGACGTTGTTGGTTGAACAAATTGCTTTGTTTATGCGGTGCACCAGCCAGTCAAAAAGCTGTGTGTACATGCCCTTAGCTAAAGCATCACGTAGATACGCCGCCTGCTCTGCATTAAGTGGGATTGTGTAAGACTCAGTACCGGCCGTGATTGAGCGCTCTAGAAGTGTGGAGTGTAGCTTTGCATTCTCAGTGCCTAGTAACGCACCGACATTATCGACAATGTCTTCATTTTTGACGTGGCTCTTCTCATTGTCACTATCATTCGGTGCAAATACAATCTCTCCAAGATTCAAAATCGCAGCCACTATTTCAAAAATTGCATTTTGTTCATCCGTTGAGATGCCAATCGTATCCAGAGCATCTTGTGTCTCTTTAAGACACTGAAAATCATCAATGCCAGTCAATTGAGCGTCAGCACCTTCTGTCACGTACTTGTAGCTCGCAGCATTGCCACTAAGTTTCAGTTCCTTTTTGCGATCATCAGGTAGACAAAAGATCTGGTAAAAGACGTGATAATTGCGCTCCCCTTCTGTCTGTCCTACCACTCGACTCTTTTCAAGTAAATACGTTTCACAAAGACAACCCACAAGAGATCCAGTGCTGCTAAATTGAAGCTGTGCAAACTTTCCAAATCGACTCGAATTGTCATTTCGTTTCGTCTTGGCATTCCCAAATGACTCTAACAATGGATTTGACTGTAAGACTTGATCAATCACCTTTGTTCCATGTTGACCACCTCCTGAAATAGACGCCAAATGATTCATCATGATCTTGACTGTCTCCGTCTTTCCAGCGCCAGACTCCCCACTGACTAGAATACTCTGATCCACTTGAGTTCGTTTCATGTCCATATATGACACAGCAGATAGTGCAAAAGGGTGTGGAGGTAGTGAGTCACGTGGTTGTTCCAAGTATTGCAGGTAGAGCTCTTTCCCATATAAGTCAAGCCATTGGTACGGATTCACCGCAATGCAGATGGCACCCGTGTATGTGTACGGCATCTTTTTTGAAAATCGTAGCTCGAGGTTCTTAAGCACTGCTGGTTCATGTAAGTGGTTAAGTGTGCACATGTCATTCGCTCCATCAGCTTCAAAGACGTTGCAAATAGGCATCGCTTCATCCGAGACTTCACCCGCAAGACGTGCGATATCGCGAATGTTTACAATTTGCTCAACTCCATCATCCTTGTCCCACTCACCATCGTCGCTTGGCTGAAGACGCACTTGGGCCGAAACCCCGTCGTCCAAACGACGAACGACAACGGCTTTCTTCCATACCTGCTCGTTATGTGGCACCCAAACCATGGCGCCATTGTCCAACATACCGGAATCCTCGGCCATGATTCTCTCTCGATGAACTGTTTCGCGTACTGGGGACGGACAAGACACTGACGGCGATCGTGGCGTCGCTCGCTGACTCTCGAGTCTCTCCCTCGCCTAGTCTTTTCTCGTGCATAACCGCTTAGCGAACCAATCATAATGCGCCGTTCAGTCCCAAACATGATTTCTAGGTTTGTCGAAAGTAGTAGGATAGTAAGCGAGTATTATAACAAGAATTAGTAACATGCGTAATATCTTGCTTTTGAAGAAAAATTAAAGCGAGTAATTGCTAATTAGCTAAAATTTGTTGTACAAACCTCTTACGCCGAAACTCGGCAAAACTGCTAGCATTTAGATAGCTGAAAAGGTCCCTTACTTGTTACTACAATCAATATAACGATATGCAATGCTGCGACGAAATTTCAATTCGACAACCAAGATGACAACATTTGTCTTGAAGTTTTCTTTTTGCAAATCCTTTACCCTTGTTTTACTACAGCTGCGGCATGTGTAGGGTATACTCAAAGGTCAGTTGGACTGTACCCATCTGCGAGGCCCTTAGAAAACTTCTTGTCTGCAAAGTGTGATGTAACTGCACCACGTTTCGTCGGACTTTACACAAAGGGCCAAAGATGTACGTAAATTAATAGCTATCATCTATTTTTGTCAAGCAGTGGTCTTTGTATAGCAAGTTATTTCTAGCAAACGGCTTTCTTCAACTAAATATTCCCTTTAATTCTGTCAGCAAATTGCATCTTTTGGGAATTGATGGATAAATTAGTGTCTGTACTCAAATTTGATTATTTCGTTCTTGCCTGTTGGATGATAGATGATTTTATATGGACTTTGGTGCTACAGTTTCGTAAGCGTTGGTTAGCTAGATAGCACACCTAAATCTCCTTTTCTTTGAAGGGCAGTCACGTTGCCACATCAGACAGATTTACACCCAACTAATTAAATGACAAGTTCGTGTGCACAGCAATTATTTCTTTTGTTATTGGTATTCTGCTTTAATCGTATCTGTGAAAAAAAACATGTGCTTCTGTGAGATGGTGAGGGGTAAGTATCAAAAAGCTTAGTAGTCTGAGAAATTATCGGTAATGTCCATGACGCATGTACCCAAATCCACTAGGCCAGATCTCGAATGCTAGACAAGGCAGTAATTAATCTCTGAATTTTTAATGTGCCACCTTTGAGGTAATTTTCAGCATTTTACATTGCCTTATAATGTGGCGTACACCTTTGACTTAACCACTACAATTGAAGAAATGAAAGTCCTATTACTATTTGAAATGGATAGGAGGTCGGCGGGATAATGAGGGTCAAAAGCAGTATCTGGTGAAGTATTCTCTCTTACACATTTCCTGTCACTATCATCGTTCGGCCTCAGGGCCAGGCTCAAGCGGATCAAAGTAAAGTACCACGGTTGAGTATTTAGTATTAGGGTGATATAATTCCGCTAAAAGAAGCTCCGTGGGCTGCTAGCCTCACTTAATGCATTATACAAAGCCCAAGTGTTGTAGATGGTTCGAAAAGATTCATTTCAACATAAGCCATAATTGAATGCTGTTTAAAGTAAAGCAAAAAAATCGTACGTGAGTTATTTGGATGGCTCTTGATTTCGCTACACGACCCCATTCTCAGTGCAATTCGTAGCGTGGAATAAAGCGTCAAGCTCATTCTTCGCGATGTGCACGTTCACCACATTGCATCTATTGTCGCTTGTCAATTCGACGCTCAAATATACATACTATTGTATCCATTGTGAGGATGAACACTGGGTCGCCCCGCACCTACTAGGTGGTGTCGTTTCCCCGCGACGATCCTGGCTGGTAGGCAATGGGGCGATGATCAAAGAACCTTGACGCGCCTTTCGCAGGGGGCAACCGTTCCAAAGATGACGGGTGCCTCCACAGACAAAACACCGTCGTGTGTTTGTTTGCTGTCCAGCAGCTCGGAGCTCTGCTCTCTCGTCCTCAGCATAGCTGAGATCCATGGGCACTGGCCCGCACGACGAGCTGTTGTAATTAGCATTCCAACCAAGTCGTGCCGACTTAAAACTAAATTCGGCATTCAATGCCACATTCGCCGCCTGTTGAAATGAAGATGGATGCACACGGAAGACTTCCATTCTGGCCACGCCAGTGTGGAGGCCTTCCATAAGGACGGTCACTGTGACCACCTCCGGATGGGGATTTGCTGCTATCCCGGCAATGAGAGTGCGCATCTCTTGAACCAAGTCCAACAACTCCTTGTAAGGAACCGCGCTCGCACGCGATATGCCTGGTTAGGCGGTGAGAACACTCTTGAGAGCTGCAATTTCAGCTCCACCTAGGAGGGAATGGCAGCTTCGACCGAAGTGCCGCACGTCAGTGCCCATTTTCGTGCTCAACCACCGATCTTTGAGATGGCTAGCGCCACGCGCTGTTGCTCGCGATGGAGCATGCCGGTTACGATGGTCATCTCGACCTCTCTCACCCAGGCACTTATACTGCTAAGGTTTTCGAGCTAGTATCAAAATGTAGTAGCGACAGTAAGCCGTGGTCTCCAAAGAGTAATTCTGATGAGACGAGAATTAAAGAGAGTTTATCGGAGTCTTTGAATAAATTTCGTGAGAGGACGAGTAATTACAGCTGTAAGCTTCTACTTCCACGTCACGATATTAGGCATCAGCAACGGTGTGCGAGTCGGACACAGCGTGTGCTATGAACTCGACGTAGCTTTATCGAAGCGTTTGGTGACGCGTCTGCAATGCTATTGCTTATTCCAATGGTTGCAGTACAACAGTAACGATCCACTCGGAGTTAATGCGCGGTGGTACCTTATGATGGACACACTAAGTAGCCCTTGAAAGCTGCCTACGCAGATAGAAGATAGTTGGTTTAAGAGGATTTCCATACGTTGGCCTACGATGTATAGAAGAGTTAGCATTTAGTTACGCTCGTGTGAACCGGTCAAAGCGTAGAGGCCTTGCTATAAAATGTGACTACCTTGGCCAGTCTGTCGGTTCCAGCTATATGTTAAGCGGAGATTTTTGCCGTTTTAAAAGACACGTCGGTAATACCGGCATCAAATCTTGGATGGGCCTCGTAGCAAGATAGCACAAATCGCTGCTGTCAGCAACGCTTTCCCGGTGAGAACACCGCCATACCATTACTCTGAAAAAATGGTGAGTTTTGTCCGACATGCTTGTACAGACTTACCGCTAATCATCCTTAATCAAGTGATCAGATAAATTGCGTTACTCGCGTGGTGCAGTTTTTTTCGTAACACAGAGGAATTGCGGTGCTGGAGCGACATACTCCAACATATCCAGCTTGCATTTGCATTACTATCTGTACAGGCTGAAAATTGTCTTTGAAGACTTCACGCACATACTGTGTACTAAGTGGACATACAGGCTCGTATAACGATGTGCTCTTACGAGCCACTCAGGTGCAATAAAAGCTGATGCGGACAAATTAATGTCTTGATTATCGCTGAAGCTGACCTACATCTGACTTTGGGGCAGTCATTCAATTTTGTGCCGCTTTAGGGGCCTGATTTTAATTGGTTCGAAGGTGCAGCTCCGGGAGCGCATCAGAAAGGTGAGCCACAGAGTCTAAAAGATAATCGACGTACCGCCATAAGTGAATATCTTCACGACTGCTAATTTTGCTATGACCGATGAGCAAGAAATGAAAAATAGACTGGTCCTGCGAGCTCATCAGGGCTCCGACCGGTATGTGAAGTAGACAGTGTGCCCTCATTCCAGAAACCGATGCAAATCCAAGGCTTTCATTCGTTAAGCTCGCCTTAGCACTTATGACTTAGCTCACTTTGTCTTAACCTTCCAGAGACAGAAACAAGATCGTGTAGCGCAGCGTATTTTTCACTAGTGAGTGGGTTCTAGCTTGATCGGTAGCTATACGAGTGGGCTAATGAAGATGAGACGAGCTAAATGCATCTCGAACATGTCACCTCGACGTCGACGTTGCGCTTGTACTTCGTAAAGTCAAGCATTAAGTAATGCTCTACTCCGACGTCTACTTCAATGAGGCTGACTTGGAAACCATATCATGGGCGAGTCGCTATGACTTCCTCACTCACCGCACGAGCTGAGTGAAGTTCTTTGCTAAAGCTAAATTCCATCGGCATTAGCCTCACAGGTGGATAAGAATTAACCTTGCCGCTGCTGGTCTAACCACATGCAATGCTTGAGGAGTTGTGATGTGCGGTGTCAACTAGCTATCTTGGAGCGACAACAACTACCGCGGGATTCAATCAAAGTCGCTGCGGTTAAGGGGGTTTCATCAATTTCCCGGTGAAGGTGTAACAACTACTAATATAATGGTAATAATATTGATACTGACTACCAATCGCAAATATTGCAGTGTGTCGTTTGTTGTTGTCACGTGCGAAAAATAAGCAATGAAATGTCGCTGGCGCCGAATTTACGCTGAAGAGACGCGTAACGGACGTCGGTGTTCCCTTATTCTATTTTTTAAGTAAAAGTGTTACTTGCCATAGCTCACAGCACCTTGAACAAAAAATATTAATCACTATGGCGGAAGTCGGTAAGAACAACATCTTTGTCGCATTTAGCTATGATCAGTATTTATCAAGTAAAATGCATTAGAAGTGCAGCGCGTTCTGGCAACGATCAACCAGGTTTTTGTATTTCAAATTCCACCACAGACATCGGCTGCTGGTCACAGGTACAAACATGTTCACAGTCGTGGATATGATTAAAATAGTAATGCAATTAGTGGTTTAGAGCGGACTCATGGCCCAGCACACCCGCGTGGACTGGCCGTTTACAAGTCTCAAGTGTTGGAGAAGATGCAGTAATTGAATTAAAGGATCCCAACACGGGTGTCTTGTTTGCTGCATGCCCCATTAAAGCTGGTGGACCGCCTGCAATTCAAAAAGGTAGAATAGTTACCACAAAATTATTCTGACTTTCTTGACTGATAAGTGCTCTCCTACAGTCGTCGACAGTAGTCGATACTTTGTCTTACGTGCTGTGGATCGCACATCAGGTACGTCCTCATCATATGTATTTCTTCAAAAGTGTTAATTTATTGTTGTTAGGTCGTCACGCATTTATCGGTATCGCTTTCAACAATCGAAGCGATGCATTTGACTTTAATGTCGCTATCGATGATTTTAACAAGTACGTTCTCTTCATATCCGTTATACTATATGACAAAACATTTACAGAATGTCTATCTGTATAGGGAGCTTAAACGTGAAAAGACCCAGCAGCAGAGCACGACATCAGGTCCTTCTGTTGACTACTCGCTAAAGGAAGGTCAAACAATTCGGATAAAACTCAACACGAAAAAGAAAGACGCGTCAAAAGATGAAGAGGATGGCGACAAAGATCCTTTTGAAATCACAAACTCACCAAAGAAGTCAGTCAATAGCAATGATGCTGATTTGCTGGGATTATCAAAAGCGGCTTCAACTAGCAATTGGGAGACGTTTTGATTACAAATGTCGAGCTAGCACATTAAAAACAAGCTTTCCCCATCGAATTGTTAGTACTTTACATGATACAAAGTTGTCGTCAGAGTGATCGATGACAAATTGGGATATCATCAATTATATCCGAACATTTGTTGGGACCTGCGACGTCCACAAAAATAATCCTTTTTATAAAATCCAATGACGTAAAATTAATTACATTATCATAACCAAGACATTCGTAAAATTGTGTTGTCGCAACAAATGCATTTATGCAGGCTCAATAACTTTTTTCATCAAAGTAAAAATCGTAATCTGCAGTATAGAGTTACAAAAGATATTATAAATAATAGGTTATCTGGCTCAAGTTTATCTCCATAATAGCATGGATGTCGTTATCCTGAGTGACTATTTTTGAAGATCGCAATTACTTACCTCGCACAAAGACACAACGAGCTTAATAAAAGTCTCGAAAACCTCGCATAAAAATTAACGTGTAAAGGTGAGTTCAGAACTGACTTTTCAAGTTCTGGTTCATGGCATAGCATTCAGTTCGACTTTGATCAAAAACCAGTCACATCGCTTCCAAGTTATCATGACAACTAAAACGACTATTGCCATAATCGTCGCTGCCATAGTTGGAAGAGTTGAGATGCTTAAAGTCTGCAACATTGAGACTTGCCCAGACGTGAATTCCCATGACAACCTTGTGTTTAGCCAATTTTGCCGAGAAGCGACAGTAACGAATGGCGCACTCGAGGACCTTACGAGCGAAGTGTTTGAAAATGCAGAGAGCACAGCATTTATTGACTGCTGCAAAAACAAGTGTAGTCAGCTTCCGCCGAAACTGTGAAGTTGAATCGCGTGGTGTTTTTGTCTCTACATCTCGTTAAGTAAGAGCCAATGAATGCATGTATGTCTTGATGTTCTGATCTTTTTCTTGTTAAACTTACAAGCAATCACACGATCCCTTTTGAACATACAAATGTTGACAAGCCGAACATGATTGCTACGTCACCTTTTGAGCTTCTAACAATTAAGATTTAAACATGACGAAATCTTTCATTAGGTTCATCTTATCATATTGTCAATCCGATCAAAGAGCTTACAAGTTTAACACTTTACATGTGCTACATCAAACTACTTGTTTTCAATACTTCGCATTAATTACAGTAAAAAAGATTTTCGATGAATTTCGAAAGCAGGTGCTTGGAACTCACGTGCATGCGCTAATGTCTTGAATTGCAGATCGGATGGTCCGCTTACGTATAGTGCTACTTTTGCCTGCACTCCAAAGCTTTCGCCAATGTCACTATGAATCTCACGCAAACGTAATGCAAGATTTGGACGTATCTTTTCTATCAAGAAATTCCGGCTGAAGACAGACTGTTCTGCTATTGGCATAGCGCGTGGTGTGGTTGGCGGTGTGGGAGTCGAGACATCCAAGCCTTGGATTTCCAACTCTTCCATTGCACCACCCAGCATGTCAATTTCATCCTTACATACGTTTCGTCGCAATAAACACGACATAAAGCTAGCTCCAAGTACGGCACCAAGTATCCCCACAGTCAGCAAAAGCAAGCGTTTTACAAACGATTTTGCTGTCAAACTCTCCAAACTCAGAACCCAAATTATTGACAGTAGACAACCAAGCATTGTTCCTGTGAACAATGGTAAACTAAGCATATAATCATGACCATGAAAAGCATGACGTTCTAGTGACGATGGATAAAAGTATTGTGGCCGTGGTGAAGAAGTCGCCGACAAATCATCAGGCTCTGTCTGAGTATCGTCTTCTTCACTGTCATAAAGACTACCACTACCAGCCTTTGTAAGGTGTAACCACACTTGACAATTCCATTGCGAGCATCGATTGATTGCATCGAGTAACTCTGCATGAGCTTCGAGAAACTCCATGTCACGACATGTCCAGATAATCCACAGACTCTGCGGTATTTCAGAGCGTTTGGATACTTCTTTCGCATTACTTACATCTAAAAGCGCTTTCAAATGATCCAGAACACTTAAAAACGGAGTCATGCCACTTCCTCCAGCTATGAATACCATGTGCGGAGCTAGTTTGATTTCGGAACCATAATATCCATCCACATGAACAGTTTTCAATTGCTGGTTTCGCATGGCAGTTAATATCCGAGACGTAAAGAATCCTTGAACTTTAGCATTGATAAAGAATGAGTGCCGATTGCGTAGTGGACTAGAACTGATCGTAAACGGATGCCACTCGTTTCCAATGGCATTGTGTTTTATATAGACGTATTGCCCCGGTAAGAAATCGGAACCATTTAAACTTGAACGGCGTAATTCAATCTCAAACACTTTGTTGCTTACAGCTGTAGCTGAAATCACACTTGCTTGTCCCCGTCCACACATTGACACAACACGGTACATCACAACCAGTACTATCGCAGGGATTAGCCAAAAGAACGTGGCGTAGTAATGCAGCACTGAAAACACGATGACTCCAATAATAAGGCAGTGTAACATGACAAAAGTTCGAAAAAATCGTCGACGTACCCACTCCATTGATGATATGGCCACAATCATAGAAAAACACAGTGCCAATGCGCCACAAAAGTTTCGAATACTTCCATATCGTTGTTTCGATGAGCAAGTGTCAGCCAAACACGGTACAAGCATTTCTTCCACCTTTCCTTGGCTGTACCACACCACCAGGTACACGAGACCATGCAGCATCAACATACTAAACCCAAACTGTCCACTCAGCACATGGTATCGAGCTGCACGTTCCTCTGATAGCCCAAAAAATTTGTGTACAAACGATTGCTTGGCTATTAAAATTACGGATAAAATTATCGCGTAAAGTCCATTCATACCCAAGGCTCGTCCTGTCCGAATCACGATGCCAGACTTGGCTAATTTTCCATTCTCCAAGTCAATCAGTAGCTTTCCTACCACAAGATTAAGCTGCAACAATAGAAAACCACCTACAAGCACGATATCAAGTGCATCAAAGCCGACACTTTTGCCTATGCTTGAACTCGATTGAACCCACTGCACCACTTGATTCTGATGACCCCACGTTTCAATTGTCCCAATTGTATCTTTCTTCGAATAAAAGACAAGACCTGCTAAGAAAAATGGAAGTATCACTGCAATGGATACAACGAAAGGCTCTACGTCCATTGATTCTCGTATGTTCATTTTCAGTGATGGAACCACTTTGCTCTCGTAAATTGGCCAGCGAATCCACACAAGACTAAAAAGGATCCACACTGTGCATAGGACAAGAAAAGCTTTCGCACTATTATGTCGTACCTTGGACAATAATTGCAATAGTATTGCTACCTTCAGTCTTCTGCGCTTGGGAGTTTTGTATGTTTTAGAAGCACTGAGCCGGTCATCTGGGATGTCATTTAGACTTTCGTCGAGAAGTAGATCCAGATCTGGATCCGTTTTAGGAGAGCGAGGTGGAGATAATGCTCGGCGGCGTTCCATTTCCACGCGTACACTCATGGAATAGAATGAGGTAATTTTTGTCTCGACAATGTGCTGCCAATTTTCATGGGTACGACAAATTATTGGGTATTGAAAATATATGATTTACAAGCATTTCAATTTGAAATTCATAATTCAGTATAAAAATTATTAGAATTCAAGTTATTATATTGCATTATTCACTAAAGTTATTGTAATTTTCCTTACAGAATACGAAATGTGGTATCGGGCGAAAGGATCCCACTGGATTTGCAGCACGATCAAATCTGTTGAGAAATTTCTAAGCTGAATGCTCGTTAGTAAAAAGCTATGGACATGGCGTGCAAAACGACGTTGATGAGCAGAAGATTTAATACAAGTGCTCGTCGAAAGATCCCGACACGTCACTTTTACATGAGGTCGTGGTAATCATTGGAACTGGTGCTGAGCTCAAAGTCGTGGAGTTGGCTTGGCTGCCCGTATTTGCGGGGACACAGTGCCAGGTTAAAGCGGGATAACTAGCTTTATGATTGTGCTGGTAGCTTGCTCGAGGCGATGCGTCCTGCCAAGCGGACCCGACGAGAGCGGTCCAGCGTCGAGGTTGGAGAGATCGACTGCATCGACAACCGTCGTTCAGTATTGGGTGATCTCGAGTACCATGTGACATGGATTGACGGGTCCGCGCCCATCTGGCTATCCCGGGACCAGTTGATAGAAGATGGCAACGCCAACTTGATCGAGGTTCTCGACTCCTATTTAAATCGCTACCCTGGACGTCAATTTGTCAGCCTCAACGCCCCCGCATACACAGCCATCGCCGATATCGACGACAACTCGTGCGTACCCCACGCCCTCCAGACAGCGATAGAGCCTCTAA